AGGAGTTCATCACCACCAAACCAGTATTATATGAAATGCTGAAAGGTATCCTTTCAGAAGAGGAAGAAGCCTGGCTGGTTTGGCTCACTGGATAGAGCGTCGGCCTGGGAACTGAAGGGTCCCAGGTTCGATTCCAGTCAAGGGCATGTACCTTGGTTGCGGGCACACCCCCAGTAGGGGATGTGCAGGAGGCAGCTGATCAATGCTTCTCTCTCATTGATGCTTCTAACTCTATCCCTCTCCCTTCCTCTCTGTAAAAAATCAATTATATTTTTTTTAAAAAAGAAGAGGAAGAAGAAAAAGGTAAAGATACAAATTATGAACAACAAATACACATCTATCAACAAGTGAATCTAAAAATCAAGTGAATAAATAATCTAATGAACAGAATAAACTGGTGAATATAATAGAATCAGGGGCATAGAAAGGGAGTGGACTGACTATTCTCGGGGGGGGGAAAGGGGTGTGGGGGTTCGGGAAGAGACTGGACAAAAATCATACACCTATGGATGTGGACAGTGGGGGTGGGGGGTAAGGGCAGAGGGTGGGGTGGGAAGAGAGTGGAGGGAAGCTATGGGGGGGAAAAAGAGGAACAACTGTAATAATCTGAACAATAAAGATTTAATTTAAAAAATAATAATAATAATTTCTTTTTTAAAAAAAGTGTAGATTAGGAAGTGCCTAGGATCCATCCCTCCACAGAAATGATGAAGCTGGCAAAAACTGTAAGAATCAACTTTTTCAGAACTCTAGAATCTAATCAGAAATGTACTACAATCAGGACAGTGCTTAATGAAAAAGGGGGCTGTACATTTTGTCACTTAAAGAAATCTTACCAGGTCACTCACCAACAACTGAAATAATGGAATGGAAACTTTAGGGACCACCTATGACAAGGAGTACAGACTTTGCAAAAATAGTTTAGAAGTCATTAAATAAGTGAATGATTGCAGCCACTGAAAGCAACAACAGCAAACCTTGGGGAGGAGGAATATTCTGATTTCCAGAGCCACCATATTAAAAATTCAAAATGGTTACTTTTTAACAAAAAATTATTAGGCATGTAAAGAAACATGTATGGTTCATTCACGGAAAGAAAAGAAAACAAAAACAGAGTCCCTGAGGAAGCCAAACATTACACTAATTAGAAAATTCAGCTGTCAGAAATATGCCAAAGAGCTAACAGAAACCATAGGCAAATCTAAAGAAAACAAGTAGAAAAGTGTATCAATAAATATCAAATATCAATTAAATAGACAGAAATCACAAAAATAGAATCTATACATATAAAAGCTAATATGCAGTGTCCCCTCGGGAGTTCAACCGGGAGAATGGGAGTTTGATCGATCACTATGACATGCGCTGACCATCAGGGGGGACATGACCAGTGACAGCAGGGTGCTGAGGGAGTGAGCGAAGGGGGAGGTGGGGGGAACCACAGGGTGGTGGGTGGCACATGGGTGGCGAGGGAAGGAGGAAGCGGGGAGGTGGGGAACCTGATCAGCCCTGATCCCCGGCCATAACTAGAGACCCTACCCGTGTACCATGCACGGGGCCTCTAGTCAAATGTAATTTCTAAAGCTGAAAAGTACAATAACTAAAATGAACACTTCACTGAACTTTAGAGGGGTTAACATAAAACTTCAATAGGTAAAAGAATAAATGACCATGAAGATAGGTAAAATTATCTAGTCTGAGTAGAAAGAGAAAACAACTAGCCTGACCGGCTTTGCTCAGTGGTTGAGCGTCAACCTACGAACCAGGAGGTCACAGTTTGATTCCTGGTCAAGGCATATGCCTGGGTTGAGGGCTCAATCCCCAGTGTGGGGTGTGTAGGAGATAGCCGATAAATGATTCTCTTTCATCACTGATGTTTCTATCTCTCCCTCTCCCTTCCTCTCTGAAATCAATAAAAATATTTAAAAAGAATAAAAATATTTTTTAAAAAAAGGAAAGAGAAAATAAAGACAAATGAAAACAGCCTAAGAGACTTGTAGACAGCATCAAGGGTACCAATGCATACAAAATGAGAGGTCCAGAAGAAAAGGAGGGAGAAAAGGGGGCATAAAGAATAATTGAAGAAACAATGGCCAGTCTACATATCTTAAGAAATTCAATGAACCCCAAAGAGAATAAACTCAAGAGTCACGCTGAGATGAAGTATAATCAAATTCCTAAAACCCAAGAAAACAAGAGAATCTTAAAAGCAACAAAAGTAACTCATTGTGAGAAACCATAGAAGCTAACAGGGGTGGGCAAACTTTTTGACTCGAGGGCCACAATGGGTCTTAAACTGGCCCGGAGGGCCGGAACAAAAGCATGGATGGAGTGTTTGTGTGAACTAATATAAATTCAAAGTAAACATCATTACATAAAAGGGTACGGTCTTTTTTTTTTTTTAGTTTTTCAGTTTTATTCATTTCAAACGGGCCGTAGTTTGCCCACGGCTGAGCTAGAAGGTAGTGAAATTACATATTTACATTTGATCTTAGCCAAAAAGTGGAGAAGCAATGAAATAGCATATTTAAAGTGCTAGAGGGAAAAAGCTGTCAACCAACAAATCTGTGACAAAACTATCTTTCCAAAATAAAGATATCAACTTACAGCATGACAGTGTGAGAAGCTCAAGTAACCTGCTCCCTACTGAAACTAATAAAAATTATTTTTAACAACAACCTTTTATAAAGCCTTTGGAAACAGTTCTAAGGACAAGCAGCAAATGAAGAGACACCTATTCAAGAACAGCTTCAAAAATTCGTAAGAAAAGTGTGTCAGTAGTATTTGAACCAAGTCTACTCCCTCCCTCCAGCTCCCATCTCAGCTCAAGGAAGGGGAGATTCCACTCAAAGATTCCTGCAGCCAAGAACACAGGGCACCCTCTCCCTCTCAGATCCTATTCAGAAAGCTTTCTTCCAAGGAGGAACGGAGCATTCGAGTTTCCCATCCAGCCCCCAGCTGCTTCTTGCTAGGGCTGAGTCCTTGACAACTGTGATTGAGAGGCAGAGGTTCTCTTCTGCCACCTAGCACCACTGATTGAATGTAGACTTTAACTGGGTGTGGTGCATGGAAAAGACTGGGCTCCTGGGTTGTGAGGAAAGGCAAACTGAAAAGATTGTTGGCTATGCCTTCCCTTCCACCAAACACTCAGCTAAGAGAGCAGAACTGTCACTCAGAGAGAAACTTGCCATTGTTCCTATCCCTACCGCCAGAGACCAGGCTGAGAGCTTTTGTACCAGGAAGAAAGCAGATACTAAAATCAAGAGCTCCTAATCTCTCCCCAAAGGAACTCACTTCATTTGCAAGAGCATGGTGAAAGAATCCTGAAAAAGAGAATGAGGTTTCAGTGAAAAGGCAATTAGGAAAAGATTCAAAATACACCGTAAACTGTAGGACAATTAGTTTGCAGAGAACTAGGGAATAAGGCAACTGGGAGTTCTGGGGTCAAAACATCAATCACTAATTTCAAAAACTTTATCCACAAAGGACCTGCAGTTTGACTGGATTAGTTTTCAGTACCCCAGGGTATTGTGGAAAACAATTAAACAATCACTCCAGTTAGTGGAGTTTGGCTGCTGGGTGTGATCAGAGAAAGACAGCCCTAACAAAACCACAGCCACCCCAGGGTGATTGTGGGCATATTCAAATTGCACCTCCCTATGGAGCAACATTAGGGTACTAACCTGGTAGCAAAGGAGATCACAATGAAATAGCACTTTACACCACTAGGATGGCTAGAATTGGATAGTCAGATAAAGACAAATGTTGGTGAGAATGTAGGCAATCTGAGCCCTCACATACTGCCGGTGAGTGTGCCGGTTTCAGGCTTGATCACCAATGTGGGGCATGTAGGAGGCAGCCAACAGATAATTCTCTCTCATCAATGATGTTTCTCTCTCTACTACTGTTATAAACATAATAATAAATAATTTATTGGTACTTCTATCCCCATAGGATAGATTCTTTTTTTTCTCCTTTTCTTTTTAAATTTTTATTTATTGATTTGAGAAAGGGGGGGGGGGGGGGAGATACACATCCATTTGCTGTTCCACTTATTTATGCATTCATTGATTGCTTTTTGTGTGTGCCCTGACTGGAGATCAAACCCAAAACCATGGCGTATCTTGGCATATCAGAACAACATTCTAATCCACTGAGTGCTCGGCCAGGGCCTAGTAGAACAGATTATTAAAAGTCAGACTATTAGGTTCCGGTTTTTTATTTCCCTAAATATTGCATTAGAATGCAGTGATGGCAAACCTCTGACACCTGTGTCAGAGGTGACACTCGAACTCATTTTTTTGGTTGATTTTTCTTTGTTAAATGGCATTTAAATATATAAAATAAATATCAAAAATATAAGTCTTTGTTTTACTATGGTTGCAAATATCAAAAAATTTCTATATGTAACACGGCACCAGAGTTAAGTTAGGGTTTTCAAAATGCTGACACACCGAGCTCAAAAGGTTCGCCATCACTGCGTTAGAGGCACCTCTCAGGGACACCAGAGAGGTGTTACTGGACAGCCCCCTGAGTCAGTGGGAAAGGGCTGTCCCCAACCTCAATCCTTGTCTTCTCATATAAATGAATATATATGAGAGACCTTGATTGTGTTGTGTAAAGCCAATTTATTAAAGTATACATCTTTATTAAAGAAGTAAAGCAAGCAAACCCATTCATCCGGCTTATGAAGTGCAGACGGGCTCTTTAACATTGCCAGATTACTTTTTCAAAAGGTTGTAGGCAAGTCATACTCTCTCCAGCAACAAAAGTGAGATAGGGGCACTTCTTAACCAGAATTTATTTTAATCACATAACATTTAACATCAGATTAGATGTAATCTTTCACTGTCTTCTCCATACAGTAAACATGTTATGTGTAACATAAGTTTATTTTCACCAAGAAATCTGAACACAGGAAACTGAGTAATCAACAATCCACAAAATAATATAGCAATTCCCCCCCCCCCAAAGATTACCTTTATACACACACACACACCTACCTCTGAGATGCTTCCAGAACAAATGATAAGTATTAATATGCTTAAAAGTCCCCATCTGGAGTATCTATAAAGGGCATAGGGAAAAAAATGTAATCTAGCACATAATGAATGTTACAAACTGATTAGTTTATCAAAACTATGATTGCACACAATAAAGAACACGAAATAAGACGGGTAAGCCCAACAGGTTAGGTTATTCCTGAAAGCGCTCTGGGGAGACAGAATCTTTCTTTTGGGGGCGGCATGGTATCAACAAAAACCATCTAAACAAGGCAAGAGGAGAGGAAAATATCCCCAAATCCCTCCTAAGAGCTGGTGTCCGCAACCACCTAGCCTCGTTAGTGGTGGTAAGGTGATTAAGGAGAGAGAAATTATTGTCTGATATTCTGAAGAGAGACTAGCAAGAAAAATGAAATACAGGCCGTCTCCTTCCCCCCCCCCCCCCCCCAATTCAGATAGGCCACACGATCCGGAAGTGTGTAGCCTTGCTAACGACCGCTTTTCTACCGATTTGAGGTTCGGCACTCACCACAACACAAAAACTGTCCAGTTTCACCACTTTCCTCAGTAAATTCGTCCTTTGGACGCCTTTCCACACCTGGTACCCAGGCCGTATTTTGGCACGGAGCGGACGCCGCCATCTTGGGTCTTAAATAAAACGTGAGCGATACTACCACAAAGCCTGTGGTGGGCGTTACAGCCAAATACGCCCCGCGCGCAACCGCTGTGCACTACTCAAAAGGCTCCGCCGGCAACGTGACCCAGCAGCCCTGCGGCCCCTGCCCCAGTTTTCCTGACTGCTTGCACTTCCTCTGGCAGCCTTTATCTCCGTTGAAATTCCTTCGTTCTTCCGTATTTTCTTTTCCCTTCGTTTCTTTTAACAACCCCAATATATTTTCACCTTCGCCCTGAGTCCTTTCTTCTTTCCACATTTCTAGCTATCTCTTGTTCTCAACTTTCATTTACCTCAAAGGGTGCGGCATCTTATAACAAACCTGCATTTCTGTTATTTCACCAAAGTATTTCAACATTATAAGGTAAGCTGAGGACTGATTTTCTCTGTTTTATAGATGAGAAAAGTCTACTACTGAAACTAAGGTCCAGAGAAATGAAGCAATTTCCCAAAAACTGCAACAGCTAGCGTTGGAGTAAACAAGAACCTAATGTGCTCACCTCGACAGCACATACACTAAAATTGGAACGATACAGAGAAGATTAGCATGGCCCCTGCTCAAGGATGACACGCAAATTCGTGAAGCGGTCCATATTTTTTTTGAGAAAAAAACACACCAAGAACCTAATTATTTTCACTTCCGTCTACTTCAACCAACTAATTAAAAAGATGGGAAAACTGAAGACAGAAATAGGGAAGGCTTGAGCCTAACTTTTCATACTGTAAGTCAATGACAAAAATTTATTCAAAACAAGCTGCTTCCTTTTTTGATTTTGCAATAGAAAGCGTTTTTGTAAAGGTGTTAGAATATTGTTCTCCAGCATGAAATCCCTTCCTGTTCTTTTAGACTCAGTTCAAGTCCTGACTCTTCTAAGAACCATCTATATTTATCAAAACGTTTATCTTTTTTGGTCTCTCTCCATGAGGGAAATACTATCTGGATGCCAGCCCCAAAAACATTTCTTAAAAAAAGAAGAACCATGGTTAGTGTGGCTCAGTTGGTTGAGCATTGTCCTGTGCATGGAAGGGTTGCTGATTCAATTAGGGGTCAGGGCACATACCCAGGTTTTGGGGATGTGTGCTGGAGGCAACCGATAGATTTTTTTTCCTCTCTCTCTCTTTCTCTCCCTGTCTTCCCCTCTCTAAAATCAGTAAAAACATATTTTTTTGAAAAGGCTGAAATTTGTTTGTAAAGTATTATGTATAAATGGTATAAAAAGTTAGTGAGGGGAAGTTTGTGCTGCATAGCTAAGGAAAAGACAGTTGAGAGTTTCTAATCGCTTTCGAAAAAATACAGTTTCTCTCTACATTCTAAAGTTATCTCTAACTTTCTACAAGAAAGAACCCAGCATAAAATGCCTCTTATGCTATTCATTTACATCATTACTTTTTCTTTATTTTTCCATTTTCATCCTCAAATAGAATGTAATGATAGAGAATTGTGTAGACATCTGGGCTTTCATGTGTTGTAATGTACCCCGCGAATCACAGAAGGACGCCTCAAGAAGTCGAATTAAAGAGTCACATTTATTGCAATCCGGGACTATGAGGGGACATTCCCAAATCTCATAGCAGTCATTTGGTCACAGTTCCAGGATTATATAGGCAAAAAATCACAAAGGTATTGATTACATCTCAGGGTTTGGAATGAGGCACCTGGCTCGCAAAAAAGCAGATTACAGAAGCAGAATTAAGCATGTTAATTACAGTTTCGGGTCTCGGGGTCACTGAATTGACAGAAATACATTATCTAGAGCCTTTGGGTAACCTGGGTTAAACTTAGGCATGTTATCTAGATTACAGTTTTGGGTCTCCGGATCACTGAGTTGATAGAAACACATTATCTAGAGCCATCGAGGCAATTTAGAGTAATTGCACTGTCCTGGTCTTAGGACCACTGAGTCAACTGGAACGCCACCTGTGGCCACTAAAACAATTTAGGGTAATTGTGCTGTCCTGTTTCCCAGGTACAGAAGAATGTGCTTCGATAACCAGTAAGATCACAATCAATGGGATAGTCATTCAATCAATAAGGCATTCAATCGAATGGGATGACTTACACAATTTAGAAAATCAAAGTAACCTGTCCATTGTTAAAAAAAGCAAATAGGTACCATACTTCACATGTATGGCCATTCTTGTGTAAAACACTACATAGAACCCACCTGTTTTATCAGTAATGTGTGTAGTAAAATGAAGAAGTCTTAGCTTAAATTGTGTCATTTCCTAGCGTTTAGACTTGTCTGTGCACATCTTGGAAATTGGTAGGGCAGACACCAGAAGTCTACTGAGAACTTTTGAGGAAGAACTCATCCTTAAAGAGGAGGTATTCAGGCAGACAGCCTAGGGTAAATGAAGGATCAGTTCCGAGTACTGCAGGGGATCTGTGGCTTCAAACATCTTTTCCCATCCAGTAGCATATCTCTTGGTTGAATGACAAAATGTATTTACTTTGATCTAGGCACATAACAACTCTGCAGTAATTTAATGATAAGTAGAAAAGGTGGGGGGAAATTAGTGAACCCTGTTGTAGTATTATTTCTGGTTACTCTCAGGACTTTTTCTGGAACAAATGACCATTTGGATTTTAAGGAAATAATATAAATAAGTGACTGGCAAGAAGCAATAGTAGAACAATAGGTGTGTGAAGCTCCTAGTCAATTTCAGGGGACAAGAAACCTAATGCATTGGTTTTATTTAGTGATGTTTCAAATTTTAAAATGCTAGATCCAGAGACATAAGTTTAGAAAAGCTCTCTATATTAATTTACAGTCAAGGTGAAAAAGTTATATCCCTGCCTCTACCCATTCACATTTTCCCCAGTTTGCCTGCTTTCATTCCAACCAAGAAAAATGCCTGCAGAAACACCAGAGACAGAGGTTGGTGGCCAGGCTAAAATATTTGCTCCTCAAAGCTGATCCTGTTGGCTTCCTGGACTACTGGTCCAGTCAGTACTTATTTCATTCTCTATGATAGCCCAGTTTTCCTCATTCATAAGTAATTGTTCCAAAAATAAGAAAACTGTCTCCTGTCAGCCTACCAACTGAAGGGTCCTGGGTTCGATTCCAGTCAAGGGCATATGCCTGGGTTGCAGGCTCGATCCCTAGTAGGGGGTGTGCAGGAGGCAGCCAATCAATGATTCTCTCTCATCATTAATGTTTCTATCTCTGCCTCTCCCTTCCTCTCTGAAATCAATAAAAATAAATTTTTAAAAATAATGACAGAAAACTTCCCTACCTGGTGAAAAAAAATAGACTTACAAATCCAGGAAGGGCAGAGAGTCACAAATGAAATGAACCCAAAGAGGCCCACACCAAGACACATCGTAATTAAAATGACAAAGGTTAAAGACAAAGAGAGAATCTTTTTTTTTTTTTAATCCTCACCAGAGGACATTTTTTCCCATTGATTTTTAGAGTGGAAGGGAGGGGGAGAGACTGAGAGAAACATCATTGTGAGAGAAACACATCCATTGGTTGCCTCCCTCACACACCCCACCAGGGCTGGGGAATCAAGCCTGCAACCAAGTTATGTGCCATTGATCAGAATCAAACCTGGGACCCTTCTGTCCATGAGCCAGCACTCCAACCACTGAGCCAAACTGGCTAGGGCTTTTTAGAAAATATGTTTTTATTGATTTTTAGAGAGAGGGAGAGGGACAGAGATAAAAACACTGATGATAAACATCATAAATCAGCTGCCTCCTGAACACCCCCTACTGGGGGGAGGGATCAAGCCCACAAGCCCACAACCCAGGCATGTGCCCCCAGTGGTAGTCAAACCGGTGACCTCTTGGTTCCTGGGTCAACACTCAATCACTGAGCCACACCAGCCAGGCCCAAAGAGAGAATCTTAAAAACAATAGGAAAAAAGCAGTTACATACCTACAAGGGAGCACCCATATGACTGTCAGCTGATTTCTCAACAGAAACTGCAGACCAGAAAAGAGTGGCAAAAAATATTCAAGGTGATGAATATCAAGGACCTACGACCAAGGTTACTCTGCCCAGGAAAGCTATCATTCAGAATTGAAGGTCAGATAAAGAGCTTCACAGGCAAGTAAAAGCTAAAGGAGTTCATCACCACCAAACCAGTATTACAGGAAATGTTGAAGGGTATTCTTCAAGAAGATGAAGAAGAAGAAAAAAAAGATTAAAAATATGAATAATAAAATGGCAATAAATACATGTCTATCAACAATTGAATCTAAAAATCAAAATAAACAAGCAAGGAATCTAATGAACAAAGTAAACTGATGAATAAAATAGAACCAGAGGTATGGAAACATGGAACAGACTGAAGAATCTCAGAGGGAAGGGGGTGAGGGGTGGGAAGAAATGAACCAAAGAACTTATATGCATTTATGCATTACCTATAACACAGACAATAGGGTGGTGAAGGCCTGGGGAAGGGTAGGAACCAGGTGGCGGGGGGGGGGGCAGTAATGGGGAGAAAAAAGGGTGACATCTATAATATTCTCAACAATAAAGATTTTATTGAACAGATACATGCAAAAAATGAAACTAGATCACCAACTTATACCATACACAAAAATAAACTCAAAATGGATAAAGGACTTAAACATAAGATGGGAAACCATAAAAATACTAGAGGAATCACAGGCAGCAAAATCTCAGACATATGCCAAAGCAATTTCTTCACTGATACTGCTCCCCTAGGGCAATGGAAACTGAAGAGAAAATAAACAAATGGGACTACATCAAAATAAAAAGTTTTGCACAGCAAACGAAACCATCAACAAAACAAGAAAGCCCACTCACTGCATGAGAGAACGTATTTGCTAATGTTATCACTGATAAGGGTTTAATCTCTAACATTTACAGGGAATTCATACAACTTAACAAAAGGAAGATAAACAATCCAATCAAAAAATGGGCAACAGACCTAAATAGACACTTTCGAAAGAAGACAGAAGGAAGGCCAAGAAACATATGAAAACATGCTCAAAGTCACAAATAATCCGAGAGAGGGAA